GGGGCTGCTATCGACACCACTTGAGTGTATCCCCGGCTGCAGCTCTCAAACGCCATGCCACAGGTAAGTACCGGCCCTCCCACGGGCCTGCCCAGTCATCACAGACCCATACAGGTCACACACACACTCAAGGCACTCCGACAACATGCAGGCCACACACAGTCATGCAACCCACAAACAAGCACGCACTCAGACCCAGCAAACACATCGACAGGCAGGGAACTTAGTACGGCATGCATCCTATGAGCAGAAATCAGAAATCGACTGTATGTTTCAGTCCGTGTATTGACGGGTCATTACATAATTATTAAATGTTATTGATTAATGATTCTTAATTAATTATTATTCATCATTCTTATTAATTATTGATTATTTCGTAATTAAATTGTTTCAATTTGTTTGGGGGGAAAAGTCATTTCTTTTCTTTTCTCTTTTGATTAGGAGTCCAGTCGACATTGGGACAGGGGACTGTATGTGAATTGCTTGATCTGTTCTACCCCTGTTCCCACCCTCCCTGCCCTCCCCGTACTCTGTGACACCGAGGTCTTCAAGTACCACATCAGCTTGTGCTGATGTCGACGGAACAGAGCACCGGGGCACTGACATGATGCAGTGCCAGGCTGGCAGTTCGTAACCACTTTGTGGTACCTCCACGATCCAAGTATCAGCAGCAACGACTCAGCAGGCGACCGACTCCAGCAGCATCGAGTACAGCAACTGCAGTACCGGTCACTACCGGGGCCCTTCCAGCCTGCCCGGTCCAAGGGGACCAGGAGACGTTATCAGCTTATCTTCAGCGGGTACAGGCATTCATGGATGCCGTCGCTACCGCTAAAGCACAGCAGGAGGCAGCAGAGGCTGGCCAATGAGGCGGCTGCGGCTGGCCAATGAGGCGGCAGCCCAAGCTCAGCGGACTGCTGAGGCTGACGCAACGGCTCGAGACAGGCGGAATGCCGCCAGCACCGAGTCCCTGATTCAAAATGAGAATCGGTGGACAATGCTACTCCAAGGCATGATCGTTGTGCCTACGGACGAGCAGGCGGATCCGACACCGATGGAGGCCGAAAGGAGTAACCTGGCTAATTTGATGCTGAGCATGATGAGGGCGGTAATCTGGAGTAACAAAATGATGCAGGTACACCTGCTCGTGGAGCGACAGCTCAGACATAAGCAGCAGCAAGACACTGCCGCCTTAACAGCTGCCGTCCGCGCCGCAGCAACACAGCAGCAACAGCACCAGATGTTGAACTCCACTCTCACACGCATCAACAGCATCGAGGCTCAGGCCTCAGCAGGGCTCATGCCTCAGCAGCGCCAGGCTGCACGACAGACACGGCGAAGCAGCTCGGGGAGCGCAGCGACCATGTTGTCAATCTGATGCAGCAGCATTTCGTCAATGGCTACAAGTCCGACCCGACTTACTCTACGCTTTATGTGGAGCTCTCATCGGATCACCCGCCGCCTGGTCATTATCGTATCTCCGACGGGTTCCTACTTCTCCACACGAGAGGGAAGGACTTGTTAGTGGTGCCTCAAGATCGCATCTTACAGACTCATCTTCTTGGCGAATTCCACGACGCACGACTTTTGGCACACCTTGGCGTGACCCGCACATTGGCCCGCCTCCGCCAGCGTTTTCACTGGCCCGACGTTCTTCACGACGTCACGAGGTATATTGAGTCATGCGCAGTTTGCCATCGTAACAAAGGTAGATCTTGGGTCCCTTATGGCGAACTGAAACCGATGCCGATTCCTCGGGCACCTCGCCTCTCCATTGTTATGGATGTTACAGGCCCGTTCCCCCGCGATCGCCTCGGTCATGACGACATTCTCACGGTCGTTGACCGTTTGAGCCAGTACGCTCGTTTTCTCCCATGCAAGTATCGTGCTACAGCTCCCGAGCTCGCCCGACTCTTGCACACTGGCTGGATTACATGCCACGGTGTTCCGGAAGATATTGTGAGCGACAGAGACACTCGCTTCATGTCCGCCTTCTGGACTTCCCTCATGACGGAGTCCGGTTCGACTATGAAGCCGAGTTCCGCACGGCACCCGCAGACGGATGGACAGTCGGAACGAGCGCATCAAACCGCTCAAATGATGTTACGTACACTCATCCGTCCYGACCAGAAAGAYTRGGTTGACCGGCTTCCCGACATCGAGTTCGCCTATAACACTTCGGTGCATCCGGCGATCTGCATCACTCCATTCGAGTTGCATCATGGTGGAGAGAAAGCCCGAGTCTTTGCCAATCTTCTTCTACCACGGGCCGCCGACATAGACGTCGCTCGTTCTCCCGCTTCCGTTCGGAAGTACCAGGACTTGTTGATCAAAGCCCGCGCGAATATGCAAAAGGCTCAGGTCCGCATGCAGCAGCAAGCTAACCGACGTCGAGTCCCATGTCCTTTCCGCAAGGGAGACCTTGTTTGGGTCCTCGCTGAGGAATTCGCGCTCGAGCAGGACGTCTCGCACAAACTCCTCCCGAAATGGTTTGGACCACATTTACCACTACTACTACTGCCACGAAGACCACCACTCCTACTACTACCAGCACCTCCTGCAGCTACTTTCACAAGTTGTGCTGCCATTAACTGCTACTGCTACTGCTACTGCTATCTCCAGCCCCGCTATCACCACTGCTGCTGCTACGAGCACTGCTGTGGCTGCTCCCGCTTGTGGTACAAATACCCTTTTTAGTAAGTTTTCACTATTACTGTTACATTCTGTGACTTCACACGGGCCTCCACAGGCCCGACACACCGGTTCAGGGGTACCCAGTCCGGCCTCACCAAAGGCCAAGCCTTTTTCCTTCCGGTAGGCCCTATTAGGCCACCGGTTGGGCCCCAGCGCCAGCAGACCCAGGTTGGGACGGCAGGACCGTTTGGGCCTGGCGGCGCTCTTGAGGCTGCCGCCCGCCGGTCTGGGCTGAACGGCCATTTCGACGGTTCAGCCCATGGCGCAGGAGGCCAGCATTGAGGCCGACCGGCCGCCGGACGGTACTTAGGCCGGTCCAGCAGCCATTCCTGCAGGTAGGGAGTAGCGGTATCGAGAGCGACCGCGCTGTGTATGGTTGTACGGGGCCTGATCATCGTCTATGATTGGCTCAGACCCCACCATCTCACGATTGTTTGTGTGTCGAGTGAGATCTGTATGAGTTCAGTCTATGTGAGTCAGTCCATTCTCAGACTTCCGCTGCATACATGCTCATCCTATATTGGTTGATCTTTGGTTCTGCCCATACTTGTTGAAGTATTCACGAGTGCAACAATTACGAACTGTTCAACTATGATCCTAAAAGTTTTATTTTCGGAAGTTCAATCTTCGAGTTTAAACATGCATCACCACTCAATCTTGCATCAAAAGATGGAGGGAGATGGCAATCGAAAAGCGAAAGGGAGAGGAGTAGCGAAGTACATGAGCATTTCGCAATAACCGTCACTAGCCTTATGTCCGATCAGGGGTAACCCTGGAGTCCCATAGTTAGTACCGCCACGTATACATGAGCATATCCTCCGTTTGTATAGCCCTTCAGGCCAAAAGAAAGGGCTAACCAAATTGAAGTGTCTCTCCCCTCCTGTATTTCCATAGTCAGTAGCACCACGCACACATGAACATATTTTCCCTTTGTGTGGCCCAAGAAGAAGTCATGACACTATACCACCAGGTGAGTATCATGCCCAAACTAGGGTGTTAAGTATTTTCTTCCCCTCATGAATGTCCACTGAGGAAATGCGGTACCAGGTAGATGCCTGAGTATGAGCATACTTGAAGAAGACAGGACATATAGTAGTAGTGCGCCATAGCTAGCAGTATCTCCGTCATAGGCAGGAGGTATTCACCCTCCTACCATCCTGCCCCCCAAAGGCTGGGTGCTCCTAACTCTGCAGAGCTTCCCAGGTTGCGGAGCAACATAATGTCCGCACCATTGCTCTCTGAGCAAGGGAGCTCAAACGCCACCAATGTAAATGTTCTTATTACGACGGGCCTGAGAGTAGCTGCCTTACCACTGTTTTGCTCCTATTGCTGGTCTTGTGTGTGTGCCTTTGTGTGTGTGTGTGTGTGTGTGTGTGTGTGTGTGTGTGTGTGTGTGTG